TCGCCCGCGCACGCAGCTTCGCCTCGCCCGCACGCACGACACGAACACGAAACCAAAACCGATTTCCCGGTGGGGGGCTTTCAGTTCCACTTCGATCTCACCCCCCAACCTCCGACCTATGCATAAACATACATACGTATATGCATGCATGCATACATACACGCACATCTACATGTACATACATATATATATATATATACATACATACATACATACATACATACATACAGACAGACAGACAGACAGACAGACAGACAGACAGACAGACAGACAGACATACATACATACATACATACATACATACATACATACATTACATACATACATACATACAGACAGACAGACAGACAGACAGACAGACATGCATACATACAGACAGACATACATGTATGCATGCATGCATACATACATACATACACATTTACACACATATACAAGCATACATACATGCATGAATGCATACATGCAAACATGCATACACGCATACATACATGCATGCATGCATATATGCACACATGCATACATACATACACACATACATACATACATACATACATACATACATACATACATACATACATACATACATACATACATACATACATACATACGTTCATGCGTGCATGCATGCATACATATATACATACATATACACATATATGAATAAGAATATGAATCTAGATATGCGTACATATATACACAAAGACATACAAACATGCATGAAAACATGTACGAACAAAAAGTACAGATATACCTGATACCGCCAATCAGAATTTGTTTGTATAGGGCTATAAGGCTATTGGGCTATATGGCTATAAGGCTACTATAAGGCTATTGGGCTATAGGGCGATAGGGATATAGGGCTATAAGGCTGTAGGGCTACAGGGCACCGGGCACCCGAGCACCCGGCACCCGGGCACCCACCCGGGCACCGGGCACCCGTCACCCGGGCACCCGGGCACCCGGGCACCCGGGCACCCGGGCACCCGGGCACCCGGGCACCCGGGCCCGGCCACCGAATCGGCGGCGAACCCGGGCACCCGGGCACCTGGGCACCCAGGCACCTGGGCCCGGCCACCGAAATCGGCCGCACCTCTCACCTCAGCCTTTAATCCGCTAGGACCCCTACAGAGGTAAGCTCTGATTGGGGAATGTGTAAGTCTGTCTCAAGACCCAAACATCTGATTGTTAGTCAATCAGTCTGTCATCGGGACAACCATTGGGACAACCATCGGGATATCCACAGGGACAACGGGACAACCATCAGGACAACCACTAAATAATCATGGGACAAACCACCAACCGGACGGGGAGTCTTTTGCTCCGGCTTCGCCCTAGCGACAGCGGGATCACTCCTCTCGCCCGCGTGCGCAGCTTCGCCTCGCCCGCGCGCACGACACTAACACGAAACCGAAACCGATTTCCTGGTGGGGGGTCGCCGTTACACTTCGTTCTCGGACCGAAACCTCCTCTACCTACGCCAGTCCTGCGCAGGCCAATCCTGGGTCTAGCATCGCTGTATACGCCCTCCTGGCTCGGCCAGGTAAAATGTAGGCAGCGATCCTTGGCTTAGAATGGGCCCTGCAGGCGTATTCGTCGGAGTCCTCCGACTCAAACCAAGCTGGCCACAGCGGAGCAAGAACACAAGATCCAATAAATACACAGTTCCGGACGTCCGCGCAGACTTCTGGGGTCGGCACCGGCCTCCCCTGGAAGCGCCTCCGGCGCTGCCCCCGTCGCCCTTCGTGCGCCAGGGGGGCCCAGCGCTGACCCACGAAATGCGAACGGACCTCCAACAGTTTATTCGGCGGCGAGCGAGGGGGGAGGTGAGAAGGAGAAGGCCTTCTCAGAAGGAAGCGGCGCGCTTCTCAGAAGCCCCCCCCCCAGCCTTCTTTGAAGTTTCCTGTATCTTCGGGGAAGGCTTAGAAAACTTTTCCGAAGGCTGTGGGACTTCCGAGCCTTCTGAGAAGGCCCACCCCTTCTCGGACGCCTGGTGGTTTTTCGACCAAAACTCGGCTATCCCGCGGCCGTTCGGGACGATCCGGGCACCCCAGAAACGCCCTCGGCGAGGTGCAGCCGCTGCCACGCACCCCGAGGACGGAAAACCACCGAGGACCCACGACGACGCCCGCAAGCCTCGAACCTCGAGCCCGACCCTCCCCCCTCAGCGAGGTGCAGCCGCTGCCACACACCTCGAGGCCGGAAAACCGCCGAGGGCCCACGACGACGCCCGGAAGCCTCGAACCTCGAGCCCGAACTCCCCCCCCCCCCCCTCGGCGAGGCGCAGCCGCTGCCACGCACCTCGAGGCCGGAAGACCGCCGAGGACCCACGACGACGCTTATGTCGGGCCTGTCCCCCTACAGGGGGATTTTCGACGAAAAATCAAAAATACCCGAAACATATTCCAAAAAGGTAAAAAAATACCCGAAAAATAGTCCCCTGACTATTTTTGGACTACTTTTTGATTATTTTGGGGGTATTTTTTCCCTACCTAGGCTCTGCCTTGAAGGGACCTTACTTTCTTAGCTTAAAGGGGCCGGGCAGTGCACCCCGCCTCGGGCGGTTCCCCCAGTCCCCTGGGAGCCAAGCAAAAGCAACAGCAAAGGTAAAAGCAAACGCGCGGTTCCCCAGTTGCGCTCCCTGGGTGCCAAGCAAAAGCAAAAGCAAAGGCAAAAGTGAAGGCAAAAGCGAAGGCAAAGCAAAAGCATAGCATAGCATAGCATAGCATAGCATAGCATAGCATAACATAGCATAGCATAGCATAGCATAGCATAGCATAGCATAGCATAGCATAGCATGGCATAGCATAACATAACATAGCATAGCATAGCGCAGCATAGCATAGCTCAGCATAGCGCAGCATAGCATAGCCCAGCATAGCCTAGCCTAGCCTAGCCTGGCCCAGCATAGCATTGCGCAGCATAGCATAGCATAGCTTAGCTTAGCAGAGCAGAGCATAGCATAGCACAGCATTGCACAGCATAGCGCAGCACAGCATCCACTATTGCTGCTGCTAGAGAAGGAGGAGGGCGGCGTTGACCGCTCCTACGAATGTTGCTTTCCTAGAGGCTTCAACTCCTGGGTAGGGTCGCACTGGGATAACTTAATTTTTCGTCGAGGATCCCCCTGTAGGGGGACAGGCCCGACCTAAGACGACGCCCGCAAGCCGCCTCGAACCTCGAGCCCGCCCCCCCCCCGGGCCCGCCCGCCGAGCCTGTGCCTGTGCCGCGCCCCCCGGCGTCGACGGATGGAGGGATGCGGCGGGCGAGCTCGGCCTCCGCAGGAGGAGGAGGACGAGGAGGACGAGGAGGAGGAGGAGGAGGAGGAGGAGGAGGAGGAGGGAGGAAAAGGGAGGAAGAGGGAGGAAAAGGGAGGACAAGAGAGGAGAAGGGAGGAGAAGGGAGGGAGGGAGGGAGGAGGGAGGAGGAGGAGGATGAGGAGGAGGAGGAGGAGGAGGAGGAGTCGCGATCCCATAGGACGACGCGCCGAGTTCGGGACAGGCCAGGCAGGAGCGGCGGGAAAAGACGAGAAAGCGCAATCGAGCACAGAACGAGGGTGGGCCCCAGGGCACAAACGCCCAGGAGGAGGACGAAGGACGGCGGGCGCAGCTTCCACGGCGCCCCTGGCCCCCATGAGCAGGCTCACGAGGTCCAGGGCACGAGAAGTCAGGGGGGGACGGGGCGGTTAACCTATACACCGCCAGATACGCACGGGCCGCGCGCCGCGCGCGCCCGCACCGGCGACGCCAGTGGCGTGTCCGCCCCCTCCTCGCCACCGCCAGCCCCCACGGGTGGGCAGCGGCCCCGCGGGGCGCCGCACTTGCGGCACTTCCCCGCCCGCTCGGCGCCGCCTGCCACGCGCCGTGCAGCGGAGGCGGGGCGGCGTCGCCTAGGGCCGCGGCTGGCGGGGACTTGCGGGACAGCCGCCGCCCGCGCGTCGGCGGCGCCGGTGGCGCGTCCGCCGGTGCCCTTGTCCCTGTGGTGTGCCGAAGGTGGTGCTGGTGGTCCGCTCTCCCGCCGCTTGCACACCCCGCTGAGTCGGCGCCCCCCGGACTGCTGGCATCGGCCACCCCCATGCCTGGGGCAGCAACCGGGGGACGGAGATGCCCTGGGTCAGAGATGCCCCCGTCAGGGCCCCAGCGCACTCTTCTAACCGACTGGGCGGCATGCGCGTCGCAGGTCGGGCGAGGCCGAGCCTCGCGGTGCCCGGTCGGATGGTGCTTGTCCGCGTGCCCGCTGCTAGCGCACCCCGCCCAATTGGTGCTCCTCGCCCCGCTGGCATCGGCCACCCCCACGTCTGGGGCAGCGGTCGAGGGACGGAGATACCCTGGTGCAGAGTTGCCCCCGTCGGGGTCCCAGCGCACTCCTCTAACCAACTGGGCGACATGCGCGCCGCAGGACGGGCGGGGCGTGGCCTCGTGGCCGTCGGTCGATTGGTGCTGCTGGTGGTGGTCCTCCGGCGGGCCCTGGCCTGTGATCCGCCTCCTGGCCGCGCTTAGAAGGTAGGCGACCTTCTGGCCGAAGGTGCGCTCGTCTGCCGCCGAAGCCGCGGGGCGTTCCTGCCGGTGGGCCTCCGCGGGGCCAAGCGGCGGGCGGGGTGATGTCGGTGTAGCGCGCTGCCGGCGGGTCTGGCAAGGGCCCAGCTCGGCTGGGTGGCTCGCCGCGCAGTACGCCATGACCGCACCCGAGAGCGGGGGCGTGTAGTCGGGCAGCCAGAGGCGAGGACCGAGGGGACCGCCTGTCGCCTGCGCGGTGGCCTCAGTCTGGCCGTCGCGGGTCGGCGTCGTCTGACTAGGCTGCGGCGCCGCTGGCCCGCAGCCGCGGGGTTGCCGGACCGCGGCGCCGGCAATCGGGGCCCGAGGACGCGCGCCGCCTCCGCTGAGCAGTTGGCTGGGGCCCGCCTGGCTCCCGAGCCTGCTTGCGGGAGGGGCGCCGGGCCGCCTGGAGCGCCTGGCCGTGGAGGATGCCGACGACAGCCTCGAGCTGGTGCCCCGTGGTGCCGGCCGGCATCGGGGAGGTTCTCGGGGATCGCGGGGTCCGCGGGGGCCAGTCCGCTGCCGACCACGTGGGCGATCGTGGCGGAAATGGCCTTGGCCTCGATGACGGGCTTGGGCGGCCCCTGGTGCGACGGGTAAACGCCCTTGGCGATCCTCCTGAGGGCCTCGTCCGTCTTGCGGGTGGTCTCGCCCGTGCACACTCCTCGAAGCCCCATGCCCATCGTGGTGCCGTGAGCCCCGCAGTCGCCGCAGAAGAAGGGGCTGTGGGCTGGCCACTCGTAGAGGCGGTGGGAAGCGTGGACCACGCCCGCCCCCATGGCGATCTGCATGCCGGCAAGGACTTCGCGGACGTGGTCGAACGAGGCCCAGTCCGCTTCCGCGGCGGCGCAGGCGGAAGCAGCCGCCTCGCGAAGCGTGGCCGCGGGGAAATTCTGCCGGCACAGCAGGCACTTCCACTTGCCCTGACCCAAGGTGACGAGCTGGTGCGGCGAGTCGTCGATTGCCCGTTGGAGGGCTGAGGGGCGGGCCACCTGCTCCGCCGCGGGCCTCTCCGAAAGCCATGGGTCGCCGCCCGCCGCGTCGAGCAGGGCTCGGCGGGCCCGCCGCCTGACCTGTGAGGCGATGACGTCCCAGCGGTCCGCGTGCGGCGTGCTGCGGCTGGCTGAGGCCGCAGCCGCCTCGGCGCCGAGGCTGGCGAGCCTGTCGGCGCAGCAGTTGCCCGCTGCGAGGAAGTGGGAGATCATCGGTTCCCCTTCATCCTCCTGGTGGGATGGCGTCCAAGTAACGCCCACCTGGCGGTCCGGGTGGGCCAAGAGTGACCTGCCGATGCGGGCCCAGAGGTCGCTGTTGGCGCCCTTGCCGAGGTGGAGCCAGCGCTGGGCGTTCCACCCGTTGAGGAGCGGCATGTTGTCGGTGACGTAGTGGATGTCGGTCTCCAGCTGCTCGAGGGCGAGAACGAAGGCGAAGATCTCCCCGCGCGGGACCGTCTGCCGCCGCCCAGGGAGAGTCGCGATCGCGCCAGCTGCCAGCTGCCAGCGCGGCCCGCAGGCCTTACCCGCGCCGCCAAGGGCCCTTTCGGGGCCGCCCAGAGCGCCTCTGCCCGCCTGGCCGAGCGGGAGGCGGCCGGCCCCAGGGCCGTCGGGCGACGGCGGCGGGCCCCGGCGCCCCCTGGGGCCGCCGCCGGGGCCGCTGGAGCCGCCCCTGCCAGCAACCGGGATATGGCGACACCAGGTGTCACCGCCGCCCGCCTGGGCGACACCAGGTGTCACCCCGTCGCGGGGGCCGCCGCCAGGGCTTCCGGAGCCACCGCCGGGGCCTCCCGGGCTGCCGCCAGGGCCGCTGGGGCCGCGACGCGAGCAAGGACCCTCGCCTGGACGCGACGCGCAGGCCTCGATGACCGCGACTCCGACGCCGACCCGCCGCCTTCGCTCGTCCGCGCCGTGCTTGCCCCCCGAAGCGTCGCCGAAGACCGTGGTGGGCTGGCTACCGCCTGCGGGCCATGGGGCCCCGAAGTGGACCAGGAGCTCGTCGTCGCAGGTGGGCACCGGCGGCGTGGTGTGGCTGGCAGGGCTGACGCCCCTGAGCCAAAGGGCGGGGCATTCCTCGAGACCGCTGAGCGCCTGGGGGATGAGGTGGGCCGTCTGGTCGTAGGCTGGCTTGCCCTGGTTACAGGGGCAGCGCCACATGCGGTGCTCGGGCGTCTCCGCCTCGCTGAGGCATCGCTGGCAGACTGCGTCGCCCTGGAAGCCCGCGGCAATCTGCCTCTGCCGTGGCCACTGCCCCCCAGCCGCGACGAGGTAGTCGAGGGCCCACTCCTGCCAGCGGCCGTGCTTGTCGCAGTGGTCGAGCTCGCGCTTGACCTGGGAGACGTCGCCGGCCCGGCCCAGGCCCGCGCCGTGGGCGTGCTGGCTGGCCCGCTGCCAGCGGAGGCGGTCGAGGTCCACGGCGAGGAAGTCCACCAGCTCCGAGAACTCCTGGAAGTCCACCTGGAGCTGGCCGTGGTGGTCGGCGAGCGGGATGGTCCACTCCTCGTCGCCTTGCGCAGTGGGGCGCGACCAGGAGCGGGGTGACGTGGGCCGCCAGCCTGCGCCCATGAGCGTGGCGATGACCGCCGCAACAGGCCCATGCACTTTGCGCCATCGCCCCGTCTTGGCCCTGAGGAGCCTGTGGTGCACGTGGGGCCAAATGCGCAGGACGCGCTTGTGCAACTCTGGCCTGGCGAGCCACTGCGTAAGCCACTCGTGCACGAGCTGGGTGCGCAGCTTGATGACGGGGTCCTTGTCACCGTAGAGCAGGGCCATGGCCGTGTCGAGGCATCGCCCAGGGCCCGTTCCCGCAGCCGCCGCCGCTGCGGAACGCCTGAGCAGGGCAAGCCTGGAGGGCGCGATGCCCCAGACCTCGCGCCCGAACACCGCCTGCGGCTGCACGCCAGTGGCATGGAGACTAGCGCCGAGCTTGCCGAGCCGCGCCGCCGCGCGACGAAGGCGCTGAACCCGCCTGGCACGGAGGGCCGCGCGCGTGTGCCTGGTATGAGCCTTGCGCTGGGACCTCCTGTTGCCCGTGACGACGTCGACCCCGAGGTCGACCATGTGGTGAGCCCCGTGGCCTGGGACTCCGTGCTGCCTCATGCGCCTACCAATGCCCTTGCGAAGGGCGGCCGAGGACGCAACGGGCGTGGTCTTGCGGGAGATCGCGAGGCGGCTGTCGCTGCACTGCTGGGCCAGGGCCGCGCTGGCAACGGCGAGGGAGTGTGTGACGACGGCGTTGGTGCCCTCCGCGCGCCAGACGGTGTCGTCGATGTACGACCAGATGGTGGTGGCCTGGGCCTTGGCCTGGGCAGCCTGCAGGATGGGGCACAGGAAGATCTTGCCGAACCTGGCGCCGTTGGTGGAGCCCGAGACGATGGACTGGCTGGCGAAGATCGGGGGGCCGACCCATTGCCCTCGCTTTAGGTAGCGCGGCGCCAAGAATGCCTCCACCTCCAGGGCCAGGACCGTGGGAGAGAAGCCGAGGTCGACCGCACGCTCGATGAGCCAGGCGAGGTCCAGCGAGTCGAAGAACTTCGCGATGTCAGCGTACAGCGAGGCGTGGTGGATGCCCATGCCCTGGGCTGTCTCGTCCAGGGTGGCTCGGTAGAGGGCCGCTCGCAGGGCGGACGACCCCTTGATGGCCGTGTCCCAATGGTCCTCCAGGCCCTGGGCCCACGGGTCGACGATGCAGCTGCGCGCGAGCCCAGATGCGCACCGGCATGGGGAGCAGGCCGAGGACTCGGTCACCTACCGCTCCCAGGGTGCCGTTGAGCTGCGGCGGCCACATGCAGTGCGCCTCAGCTTGGTGTAGGACGGCCAGGAACTGCTCCTTGGCGCAGTCGGGGAGGCGCTCGACGTCCAGCGGGCTGAGCCTGTCAACGCCCTGGGCCTTGCGGGGACCCAGCTTGCCAGTGGCCGCGTTGAGGCCGTCCACCGCGATGGGCTCGATGGTCTCCTGCGCCGCGAGAACGCGGAGCGAGGCCAAAGCTACCGGCATGGCCTTCGTGCGGTCGGCGGGGGCGGTCCAGACCTTCTGCCACGTGGTGGACTTGGCCAGCATGACCTCGACGGGGTCCGCCAGGGTGCCGCCTTCGGTGGGATCTTCGAGCCGCTCCAAGTCGCCGTCCTTGGTCCAGCGGTGGAGCTGGCCCAGCGTGGCCTTGGCCGCCCAGGTCGCGAAGGCTTGGCGCCCGTGCTGGAGGGCCCTTCGCGCGGCGTCGCCAGCGAGGTCGAGAGCGAGCTGCCTGGCGGCCGCCTGCTCCTGACGGGGCTGGTCGAGGATCACCGTGGCCCTGCGCTGGTAGTCCGCCAGCTGGCCCGCGCGCTTGGCGGCCGAGAGCTTGCCGATGTCTGCGAGGGCGCTGCGGTGCAAGTCGAGGCGCCACAGCAGCTGCCGGTGGTCCTTGCCGCTGGCAGCCAGCGCGATGATGGCCGCGAGGTTGGCACTGTGGGTGGCCCAGGCGTCAGCTTCAAGATGGTGGAGGTGGGCCCTGCCTGGGCTAGCCGCCGTCTGCCTCCAGGTGGCGCCGAAGCCGCGCGCCCTGCCCTGGCGGGCGGCCCGGCTCGCCTTGTCGCAGCCCTCGCGCTGGAGGATGGCGGCCTCGACCTGGGCGACCCAGCTGCCGTAGAGCCCCGCAAGGGCGCGGGCCTGGTCCTCGCCCTCGTCGAGGAATGGGTGGCAGAGCAGGTCGGAGTGGACCTGTACATCGCTGCGCCGGCAGGGTGCGGCCCCGACCCAGGTGTCCAGTGGGACGAGGAAAGGGGCGGCGGGGATGTCGCCTGGGGCCTGCCCTTGCGACGGCGACGGCGCCGCGGGCTGGCTGGCGAAACCGCGGGGCGTGCCCTGGGTCGGCGGATCCTGCCCCCGCTGCTGGCCGTCTTCCAGCCGCTCGCTTTCCTCCGCAAGGGCCGCGCTGGGGGCCTCGGGCGCGCCCCCGGCGGGCGCGGCGGCCGCTGTGGCAGGCGCGAAATTATCCCGCAATTCTCTGCCAAGTTTTGAAAACTCTACAGAAAATCGCCTGGGACACCCCCCACAGGCGCGGCGGCCAGGGGGGCCTCCGGGGCTGCCGCCGGGGGAGCGTCGGGGGCCTGGCCCGGCAGCTCGGCGGGCCCGTAGGGCTCGCCCCACCTTTCTGCGGGCGGGTGCTCCTCGACAGCGTCGAAGAATCGATCGTCGGCCAGGTCGTCGAAAGGGTCCCAGTTGCCCGAGAGGTTGGCGCGGGCGACGGGGCCGTTGTGGCGGGGGCTGCATTGACCCGCAACCTCCACGTCACCTTCTACCTGGAGCGAGGCCAGGTCGTGGAACTGGTCGCGGTCGGCCTGGGCGGCAGAGAGGGAGCCGCCTCCATACGCAGGGGCTGGGGCTGGCCGCGGGCTGGCGTCGTGGCCCACGGGGCCCTGGCGGGGGCTGGGCAGGGCAGCAGTCAGCCCACTGGCTGGCGGGCCCTCCGCGCTGTTGCGGCAGAGGCCCAGCTGCACCTCCTCGAAGTCGGCGCCGAGCTCTGCCGGCAGGGCCGCCGCCCGCCGTTGGAGCGCGGCATGCCTCTGCCTGGACCTCTTGCTGTTGGGGTCCGCTACCGCCTTGGCGCGCATGGTTGCCGGGAAGCTGCGCGGGGCGTCCAGCGCCTGATACCGCCATCTCTGGCGGGCGCCGTGGAGGGTGAGCTGGAGCCCGCAATGCGTCGCCCACGGCACCTTCAGGAAGGCCTTCAGCGAGAAGAAGTGCTGGTGGCCGTCCTTAGCGAGGCCGTAGTCAAGCAGGCGGCCCTGCCCTTTGTCGCACGTGCTGGCGACGTCGGGGGCGATGACCGCGCCGCCCAGCTTGGCGACCCAGCCCGATTGGGCGAGCTGGCGCGGCTCGTGGCCCCAGTCGCCGAGGACGATCCACGGGGCCTTCTGCAACGCAAGGAACGCCCCCAGCGCGACGAGGGTGTCCCTGTTGCGCTTGCCGAAGCCGAGCGCTGGGCGCAGGTAGAGCGCCACCACGACGATGTTGCCCGCCGCCGTGCGCAGGACCATGGGGGCGAAGCCGCAGAGCGCAGCGCCCTTGGCGTCGCGCCAATGGTCGAAGGTGGTGGCCTGGAGGCGCACGCGCACCGCCATGAGCTCGCCTCCTGCGACGCCGCCCTTGTCCGTGGAGACCCCAGGGGAGCACGTCGCCTTCCAGCCGTCCTTGCGGAAGGCCTTGATGATGGACCTGGAGTGGGTCTCCGCGCGGCGCGGCTCGACGAGGGCGACGCCGTCGAAGCGCCCGGCGCGGTCGGACTGCAGGAAACCCTGGGCCTGGGGGCCCCACTCCGTGATGTTGCCGTAGAGGACGGTGACGTCCTCATGGCCCGTGTTAGGGATGATGCTGGCCTCCACTGGCAACCGCGGGAGCAGCAGGAGCAGGAGGCACGCCAGCCGCGCCTGTAGGCTGCCCAGCCACCGCCTCGCAGCCACGGGCCTCAGCGTCATCCCCTGTCGCTCGGACGGCCTCCTTGGACTGCTGGGAGCCCTCGGTGTCGTCGACCTTAGCCCGCTTGGCGGCGAGCGTGGCCGCCTGGTGAGCCTCGGCGCAACGCTTGGCCGCGTTGCGAGCCTCCTCGTCGTCCGCAGGGACCTGCTGACCGAGGGACTCGAGGAAAGCGCGGCTGGTGGCGGCGGTGGCCCAGACCGTGACGGTGGGGACCTGGGCCACGGTTGGCGCTGGGGCCTCAGCCTCAGGCGGCGCCGGCGGGCCACGGTCGCGCGCCGCCTTGGCCTCCGAGACCTTCTGGAGGAGGCGGTCCTTGGCCTCCTGGAACTGTTGGCTGATCTCGAGCGCGCCGGCGCCGTCGAGGCCCTCGTCGTAGAGGTGGTCCTCGAGCTTCGCCACGACGTTCTCGAGGAGGGGGATGACCTCCGACTCCTTCCCGCCGCGGAGTCGCTGCTTGCCGAGGTCAGCGAGGAGCACGCGGGCCGCCGCGAGGTCCTTGTCGTGCTTGGCCTGCTGCTCCAGCTGGAGGGCCGGCTTGACCTCGAGGTGCACGATCTCGGCCTTGGTCGCCTCAACGTCTTTGCCGATCGACGTCGTGAGGCCGTCCAAGCGCTTGATGTCGCGGTTGCAGGCGTGGAAGCGCTTGCCGAGGGGGAGCGTCTCCTGGCGCTTGGTGCGCAGCGCCTCGAGCTCCGTCTTCCAGCGCTGCACGTTGTCCTTCTCCGAGTCGCCCATGTGCTCGCCCGCCTGGATGAGAGCCGCCAGCCTCTTGATGCGCGCCAGGTCGTCGGCGCCCTCTGCTGGGGGCCCCGCAGCTGCCAGAGGCGGCGCTGCGTCTCCACCCGTCGCGGCCGCAGCGCCCTCGCGCCGAGCCTGCTCGAGGTCCTTGTCGTGCTTGGCCTGCAGCTGCTGGCGGATCTTGACCTCCATGGCCTTATAATCCCAGGGGGCGAAGTCGCCCGTGGGCTCGGCGGCAGTCGGCGGGGCGTTGACGCGTGGTGCCGGCTTGCTGGGGGCGCCCGCGACGACCTCGCCGAATGCGACCCCTTTCTGCAGGTTGCAACCCGAACACACGAGGCTCCAGCCGCTGTTGCGGAGCCTTGCACCCTTGGCCGTCTTGCAGGACTTGCACTGCCAGGGCTGCCGCTCCGTGGAGGCCCGTGCTGACGGGCGCGGCGGGGTTGCCTGGGCTGGACCGGCCCTCCTCCTCTCTGGAGCCATGCCGAAGCGCGCGGGCCCGCAGAGAACTTGGTAACAAAATTAATGAAGTGTCCGCCAGCGCCCGACGCGCTGGAGTGCTCGGAAGAGAGCTGCCCGCTCGCAATGGACCAGACCATCTTGAGCCAAAATGGCAACGGAGGAGGAGGACGAAGGAGGAGGAGGAGGAGGAGGAGGAGGAGGAGGAGGAGGAGGAGGAGGAGGGTCCGCGGGCGAGCGGCGGCGCGCCTCGCGCGTGGCCTGCTCGGGGAAGTTCTCCATCCAGTCCTCCGGGGGGCTGCGGCAGGGACCCACAGCCGGGGGGGGGCGGCACTGCACGCACCCAGGCCCCGACGGCCCCTGCAGAGCAGAAGGAGAAGGAGAAGGAGGAGGAGAAGAGAAACAAAAGCGTGGTATTCATATGAAGAAGAAGAAACATAAAATAAGAAGAGTCATAAGAAGAAGAAGAAGAACAAGAGGAATAATAATAATAATAATAATAAGGTAAATAAGAAGAAGAAGAAAACATAAAAGAAGAAGAAGAGGAATAATAATAAGAAAAAGACAAACAACATGTGATACGCATAAAAATGTTCTCGAAGGTCCACGCAGATCTCACGCATCGGCGCTGGACTCCCCTCTCTGGCGTGGGCAGCGAGCCAGGAGCGGCGCCGCAGGCGCCGCCAGGCGGGTCCAGCGCAGATCCGAGACATCCGCCCTGAACCTCTCGAAATCTATCCTTATGCCGGGTTTTCTTCTCCGGGTATTCGACGAGGCTCCCAGAGGCGAGTACGTGCAGTACCCACCATCTGGGGCGATCCACCCCCTGCCGTCGCCTCAGAGTCCTCCTCTTCGCGGCAGCCGGCCACCTCGTCCAGCCACGAGTCGATGCTCTCGCGCTGCTCCTGGGCGACCCCCGGGCGGCGCACGTGAGAGAGAGAGCGAGAGAGACGGAGAGAGAGAGAGAGAGACGAACGCAAGGCAAGGAACACACCAAATGCGTGTTGGCTCGGCGAAGGGGGCCTTGTGACCATTTGCGCGCTCCGACCTGCAGCCCGAAGCCGGTCGATGACTGAAGACGGGCGAAGCGCAAGATACTGCAGCAGAACACCCAGCAGGGGGAGGAGGTGGTCCCAAAGGACAACGTGCAGATCCCTCCCATACCCACTCTGGCACGTCCCTCCCCTCCCCTTGTGACAGTTTCGTCGGAATTTGGGTGGAACTCATAGGCAGAGCGGAGCAGCAGGCTGCTGCAACACACGCGCACACACACACACAGACTTGTCCCTCTCGCCTCTTTTCTGTGTTGGGCACGACCTCCTCGCCGACTAGCACGTCGTACTCTGACCACTTGCGCGAGGAGCTCTAGGCGGAGGCGGCCACGGTTGAGGTGCACGACCTTCTGAATAAGCCGTCGGAAGGGGTCACGAAAGGCCACGCAAGATGAGGAGGATGCAGCGCCAGAAGCTGGAGGAGGCAGCGGCGGGAGTGGGCGGGTGTGTGCTCTGCCACTACCTCATCGGATTTGTTCCCCCTCCACACAGTTCGACCCCAACCACGGTGCGACTCAACAGGCCGCCAAGCAAGCCAAGAACGCCACCCGAGCCGACCTGCAAGAGGCAGGCTTATGCAGCGAACCGCGGCCCGAAACGACACTCGAGCGCGCAGGAACTTCCGCTTTGGTCAGTTCGCGAGCGCCTCCAGGGGCACGGGCCCGCAGGGTGGCCGGCGGCCCTGCAGCTTCGCCCTGCGTGGCTGGCGGCCCTGCGCCGCGGGAGCCGGGGGTTGCTAAAGGTGCCCCTGGCACGAGGTTCCCTCAGCTTCTTTTTATTGTTTTTTATTTTTTTATTTTTTATTTTTTTTTGCTCAGCTTCTCGCTCACGTTTGGAGCTTCTGGAGCCCTCTGGGCCTCGGGAGCGGCGCGCCTGAGGCCGCGGCGGCCTCCTCGGAAGTCCTGGGGGCACCCTGGGGCCAGGGAGGCCCTCCTGGCGACACCCCGAGAGGGTGGCCCAGACCGCAGGGTTCGCGGCTGGCTCGAGGGGCTCTGGCCGGGAGGCGTGCGAGCCGGAGTGCTGGGGTGGCGCGAGGGAGCGTCGCGCAATGGGGGGGGCGATACATGGGGGGGAAGAGAGAAGTGCACTTTTTCGGGCCCTGGAGGCCCCCGTTCGGGGCCCTGAAAGGGCCCCATGAGGGTCCCTGGGGGGCCCCTTTTCTGCAGCCCTCCGGAGAGGGAAACAATTAGTAAACACCCCCCCTGCCCCCCAAAC